AATTGTATTTTCGTATGCAACGCAAGTAGAGGTTTAACAGGCTGTAAATTTAAATTTGGAGTACCAGAAGTTAGTAAAGATTGCTACGAAATGTTGATAGTTCTGTCTAGGAAAGGGTTCTGTTATTTAAAAAAAAAATCTGTTAACAAAATTCCAAACTCGAATTCTATAGTTAATTCTAAATACAATATTAAATCTTTATGTCTTTATAAATAAGAGCTCGCAAATATATAGGCCTAATATGAAATTACTTCTTATGACAAAACTACCGTCGTCAATTTTTCAGCCGAATTCAAATAAAATTACCTTAAAAATGAATGTTTTTTGCAAGCATGAGCCATTTTTTCCATTGTTTAATTTTTACAGTTTAACTGTGTTGTTTGAACTCAGTAATTATAAAATAAATACAGATATCCCCGCTTAATGTCAGTAAACCGTCCCTGAAAAATCAGACTACAATCATTTTATTAACAAAAACGTCTATTTGTAGGATTAAATTTTTAAATCGTCCAATAACCACATTGCAATTTTACTACACTTATGTTAGATATGCACAAGCTTCCTTCTATTAAACCTTCTTATGGCACCCTTGCGATTCAAAATTCCAGGCTAAATGCATTTCGTTGTTTTTTTTTTACAAAACAATCCCTCTTCATTTACTTTTTCAACTCACTGATGCCCATTTAAAAGATACCTCAACCACCAAATACAAATTTAAAATGGTTACATTATTTTTTCTTTTAAATTTGTATTTGATGGTTGAGGTATCTTTTAAATAACATTGGTGAGTTGAAAAGGCAACTGAAGAGCAGTTATTTTGTTTAAAAAAATCCGGAAATGCATTTCGTCTGAAATCTCAAAAGTGCCATAAGAACGTTTTAATAAAAAGAAATTCGTGTAAACACCTCTCGTATAGTTATTGGACAATTTAAAATAAATGGCATGGTTCCAACAAGAAAATTAAGGATGTAAAATGGTTGAAGTTTGATGATAGATTTCTAATCATCAAATAATTACAGTAATCTTGCCGTTAATAAATAGCATTTGTACTGTACAAAGCTTTATATACAGTAACCTATAATTTACACCCCGTACTGTAAACATTACATCTATGTTAACAAATACAGCTCTTTAAAAGCCTTGTTAAAAAATTAAAAATTTACAGTAAAGAATTGTTACTACGTCAAATGGAGACTTTAAGCTTGCAGAATGCGCTCCTTTCAAGCCTGCATATGATTGTGACATTCTATCAATTTTATTTAAAATGTAACTCGAGACTTGCCGCGTGTCGTTTTGTTAAAAATGCAAAGATATGTGTTGTATGAAGTTTGAGTCTTGAAAAGTAAGAAGTGTTCTACCGAGAAAACATTAATTCTGCCGGAATGCCTGTACTTTAATAAATAAAGCGAATATTATGAGAAAAATGAACTTCACTAATTAATCTAAATAATAAAATTTATTTTGATCGTAATTTTTACTGAAATTACTATTAAGTTATAAGTGTAATTACCTTACTTCTATATTTCCATGTCTATTTTCGTTTCGTTGATATTACATATAATACAATAAATCGCTTTTATTATTGACATTACTATGTTATTTGTAATCGCTTATGATTGTAATTTACCACATTCAATTTGAGTAATGCGAATATTTTATTATATCCGATGAGAAGTTTTATTTGGTATATTTTTTTAAATTAATAAACAATACAATTGACACGAAGGAATGGATTCTGATAAAATAGCCGTTTCCTAAATGGAATAATATTGATAATGGTAAAATAGATTGATGGTCTGTCAAAATTTTGAAAAGATTTAATCCAACTCAATGCCATTCAATTAAATAATATAAAAGCAGTCAATTTGTTTCGATGTTTTTTTCTTACAATAATCTTAAATCAAAATAATTCATTTATTTACTTGTTCATTTAATTTTGAAGAGAAAATACATACAAAGAGAACTGTTTATTAAAAAAACTACTCGTATTTACTAAAAGTAAATCGAAGCATAGAGAAGGAAAGGATGAAAACTATCATTTGATACAGAGTGAATTTTCTGTTAAATTTTGATTTTTACAAGTAAAATTCAATTAAAGAAAGAAAAGTATACTCTACATAATTTCTAAGATTCACAGCTGATTATTTTAAAACTGTTATTTGTTAGACCATGAATATTTACCGTGGGCACTGTTTCCTCTATAGGCCTTTTACTTCTCTCATTTAAAATGTAGGGAAAAATACTGGCCAAGTTCAATATACTAGACTATATAATAATTTACTTATATTATCGCTTTCTCACTAGGTTTTCCAAACATCCAGATTAACCGAGACAAAAACTATTTCCATTTTGAGATAAAGTAGCAGTTATAAATAATATTTTACTATTTTTATTCGCTATGATAAGGCGCTTTTATCAGTCATTTCGGTTGTCAATTGCTACTAACTTAACGCATTCTTATATTAGGTAATAAAACATACACGAGTATAAACTATTTGTTACAATTGCAACTGTAGTTAATTTGTAAAATACTTTATGTAGCCTTATATGCAAATAACGTAAAAATAAATAGGCTATAGATTCAGTCTATCGGATGACCGAGGCAGGGCCGGATTAACCCACTTTGGTGCCCTAGACATTTTCTTCTTAACGGGCCCCCTCCCTCTCCCTCTCCCACAAGAAATAGAGCACACAAAAAACATAAAACAATAAATAAAACAAAACTAAATAATGTGAAAAACTAAAACAAATCTTAAATTTTTANGGACTTTAAAAAAAATAATGTAGATTTTTTTCATAATTAATTAATATAATAATATTGGACACTGTAAACACCCGTAATCGATATTTAATTAGTAGTAATAGAAGAAGAAATCCGTATGATGATAAATATTTTCGAGTAAAATAAGATGTCAAAGGAAAGAGAGAAATGTATACCGGTTTCATCTTTTATGTATTTATGCATTCTGTTATTCAATGCATGTAGACTCTGATGTAAAACATAATAATAATAGAAAAGAAATCTATATAATTTCATCTCGAAATGATTATATAGTATAAAAACAGAGAAAATGTGTTCGGTGTTTCCAAAGCATACAAATGAATAGATAAAAATAAAAACTTCCTGCCTACGTAGAGTAATTATCATATACAAATACATTTTCTTGTGTTATTTTTCGTAGAAATTTTTATTGTCCTTTTAATCGCCTGGGAAAAATAAATAAGTCTAAATTGCAAGATAATAATTAGGTCATACAAATTACATTTGAAAGTAGTAGTTAAAACTCTCTCCTTTTTTTCCTCTCTCCTCTCTCTTTTTTTGTCTCCCTCCCTCTTTCGAATAATTAATCGACAGGAGTAATGTAATCCTTTGTTTTTCTATTTTATTTTATTTTTATTTTCTCTTTCCTCTTAGAAATCCTTTGGGAAATTGGCATAACAGAAATTAATTTAACTTAGTATGTTGTTAAAACATAAAACTAATTATTTTTCTTACAATAATCGTATTTATCTAGAGTTAAATGAAGTTTTGTTGATTTTTTTGATTTTTAGAACAAATTTGGAATGATCGGGGGTGGTTCTTTTCGCTATAAAAACTTATCTAAAGATGAAAAATAATTCTCTAGTTAAAATCAAAAAAAAAAAAAAAAAGGAAGAAGTTATGACAGGCTCGTCCCTGTTTATGGATAATATCTTGGCTCCGAGGCTAGACGATAAATGAATAATTCTAAAAAAACAAAAAAAAAGTCCACCGAGATATTTTATAAATGATAAAAAGTTAAATGGAGTTTTCTGTATTAAATTTCCAATGGTACACCTTAAAAATGCATAGTTACTATAAGAGAAAGTTGGTAAAATCCCACGAAACTCGAATTCAATTCCATTTATTGTGTGAGGACGTAGTTGGCGAGAGTAAAGAGGTTGAGAGCCAGATAGGGCTTCCACCAAATACAACCTGATGGGGTTCTATAATGGAAGAACCTCATTGTGAGTAAGGTAATCGCTGCTGATAGCAGAGACACTGGAGAAATCTGGTCTTCTCAATGGTGATGAAGGAGCAAAATAAATAGGAAAGGCAGTACCGCCAAGTCGTAAAAACCACTAGTATTGCAGAAAAGGGGTAGAGAACTATATCCTGAGTCTGTGGATGATATTGCATCCAAGCTTGTAAATCTTTAGCTAGGGGATATACTCTCTCTGCATATCCTGATTAGTTTGTAACACTCTGAGAAATTTGTGTAGAAATTTAGAAATTTTTACCCATTTGCATTTAATTAAGGTAAAAGGACTAGTTTTTTCTTCTTTTTTTTATTCTTTGTTTTAACTTTCAATCTGTTGAACTATGATTGCATCTCTTTGAGTACTGCAAAAGGGGCGAAGCAAATTGTTTAAATATTGACCTGCCTCCAAGGAAAAAATGACTGCACTGTAAAAGTGACTATAAAACGTCCGGATTTAGCCAACGGATGGTCATAAATATTTAATAAGTACTTCTTCACATATTTATCGAAGCTTTGAGCTATTATGCTTTCCACTATTAAATAAAAGATCCCCCCTTTGCTCGCTAGTATTTCTGTATCAGAATTCTTTGCCGCGAATAATGGTTCGTTAATATTCCTATCTACTTATTCAAGTAAAGTTTTGTTTTTAATTTGATTTTTGCCACTGTTTTCTGTTTAGTAAACCCTTTTTTTTTTATCTCCTCTTTTTCAGGTTTATTTTAAATTCGTCTGAATATTTTAGATGCAGCTGCCTATACTGATATAAAGGCAATCAATCACTAAGACTCCTTTGTATTTTTCTTTGATAAAACGTTTACTGCCATCTATTGCTGCAATTGCACATCTGGAAAAAAATTTCAAATTCGAAAATTTGTTTTTATATAGTCATAAAAATTTTCTTTTTCTTCGAATAAATCATTTTAATATTAAAATAATTTCCATATATAAAAACGACAATAAGATACCGAATTAAATTTTTTTTTATTTCTTTCTTTCAAGGTAAACAAAGAAATGTGGCCAAAAACGTCGGACGATGTGTGAACAACAACCCTTTAAAATCGTAGTAAGTTACCTAATTTGTGGTTCCATTCTTTCGAAATGCATTAAATATGAAATTGCAGGTTTCATTTGTCACTTACCATCGATTCTTAATGATAATTTCCTCGATAAATTAGGAAAATGCTTAAAATAGACGGCATATTCGCGCACCGGAAGTGCGCATTATACACGATATTCGCCGGTTTGTTGTATATCCAAAGGATAGATCAACAAGTAAGAGATTAATGCGCTTGCCAAATGACAATATCAGATATTCTACTTTATTATCGAATGAGTATAAATAGTTAGCATCATCTAAGACCTCCTATAATCATAATAGACTGCCATGTATTTTCCTCCCACTTATTAAGTCTAGCTCGGCAATTTACTCGTCCAATTTTATACGTTTGAATAAAGATACGAACGTTTACCAGGAAGGAAATGAGAGAGAATCGTTGATATAATTAATAGAAATTATTTATAGAAGAATTGCTAGATATTTCGTATAAAATAATATATATATGTAAGATTATTTTGCGAAACGAATTTGTGTCACATAAAAAGTAATAACAACAACAAGATTTTATTTTGGAACGCATTTTAATAAAATAAATCATGGATTCTATTTTAAAATCGAACGTAATTTTGATAAAACACACTTTGGTGACGTCAATGGCTGTCACGACTGCGGGATCTCGATTACAATAGCACGTGCCGTTACTATGACGACAAGTCAGCCAGGAAAAAAGACACGATTAAATTGGTAACGGTTACCGTAAAATGTTTTTTACCCTCCCCCTTTCTTCTTCTTCTTCCTCTTCTTCTTCTTTCTCTAAATCTTTAATTTTTATAGATTTTCACCATTTTTAGTGGGTCTGTAAACAACAATTAGCTACAATTCGCTTCCGACTAATAATTCATCACACATTCGCTCGGATTTTCCGTAACTTTCGACCTTTCTATTTTACAATTAATTCAAATTTAAACCGTAAATACGGTTAGTAAAATGCCCTCCCCCTTCAAAAAATACGGTTAAAATTTCATTACTCAACATTCAAAATTAATATTATAGAAATTATATTTAACTTGTAATGAATTTTAAATTAAAAAATATTTATTAATATCGTAATGAATAATAACTTTTTTCTGTTTAACTCGGGTAATTTTTATTTAAAAAAAAATTCTTCAGACGTCAAAGTTAAAATACTTTAATGTAATTGGTTAAGAATTTAAATTTTGTGACGTTTATTTAAACGATTTGTCAAATCGTAATCTTATTGGATAAAATTAGAAATTAGATTTAAAATTATTATTATTATTTTTTAAAAATTTGTATTAAATTACTGTATATTATTTAAATTTTAACAGATGAATTTTAACGGGGAAGGATCTCATTCCAACACCACCTATCCCTCCACCAATGGGAATGGTCCATTTTCGCCAGCGACCAACAACGACAAAAGGTGCTTTGGAAGAAAGATCCAACGGCCTGTTCGCGATCCTGGAAGCAATTGTTTGCAATAAAAAAAACAAACAAAAATCACCTGTGATCTTGACAAATCTTCATCACTCTTTGCCTTTCCGTGAGGAATGCCAAACAGCGCACAAATTTCTCTAAACAATTCGAAATCGAAAAGCGGAAACAAGGTCAGTGGCTCCATCTTGTGACTGAAGAAGAACTATTTTTGCATTACACGACCAGGATTCGAAATACAAAATAAAGATTTAAAAATAAAAAAATAAAATAAAAAGTAAAAAAAAAATTATATATAAATATTGTGGTAACTTTGGAATATTTTTCATTAAAATGTGTGTTAATTGTGATCTATGTCAGATAAATTATGCATATAATTATATATATATATTATATTATATAT